TTATCCCTCCCACCCCCAGACCCATGGTAATCATTGATATTTTTATTATACCCAGATTTATTTTTTCAGAATGTAGTATGGATGGATTCATAAAGTACGTATCCTTTTCAGATTGGCTTCTTTTACTCAGTAATATGCCTTTATATTTCCTCCATGTTTTTTCATGGCTTGATACTTCTTAAATTGCTGAATGATATTCCATTGTATGGATGTATCAGCTTATTTATCCATTCACTTCTTAACATCTTGATTGCTTTCAAATTTGGACAATTATGAATCAAGCTTCTAAAAACATTGTGTGTTTTTGTGGTGGCATGCATGTTCAACTCATTTTGATAAGTGTACAGGATTAAAAAACCTCAAGAGATGTTCTATGCATTCAAAAAGTTTTTTTCTCTTCCTTTCATCTTTTATTTCCTCTTCATTTTTGTAATTATATTGGTTGAGGCATTCAGTTAGAGTAGCAGTGGTGTGATAGAAAAATTTATTTTTGTTCCTAATCTTAAAGGAATATCCCTATAGTTGTTATTCAATATGTTGTTGGCAGTAGCTTTGGTAGACAATGTTTCAGTAAGTTTTAGAAATAATATTTAATAAGTTTAGGTAGTGTCCTTATATTTCTAATATTCTAAGATATTTTGTCATTAAAGTTATTGAGATTTGTCAATTTTTTCTGTACATATATTGATAAATTCATATAGATTTTTTCCTGTCTATTGGAATCTGTAGCAGCATAAAGCATAAAAAGAAAACATTGATAGGATATTTTGACAGCTTGGGCTACAATAGAATCCCACACCAATAAAGATAGATCAAGTAAATACTACAAAACATTTTAGGAAAAAAGCAGCATGAATTAATATTATGAGATGAAGAAATAGATTAGCATCTTTAATTTGGTATAAAAGGTGATTCTGAAATCAACTAAAAGTATATAATATTATAAAGGGAAGATAATGAAGATAAAGGAAGGAATAGAAAGAGAAAGAAAGACAAATATATTATTTGCAAAAAAAAAAACCCCAACAAACAAATGATGCTTTGGTTTTTGGAGTATTGATGTCAAGTCAGACCATGTGTCCAATAGTCTTGAAAAATCTGGAAATTCTCCTTTTCCTAGTGTGCAATAATCTGCATAAATGGCGGTACTTCCCACTGGGGAAGAAGTAGGGATATTTCTTCTGTAAATGTATGTCTTGGGGTTGTAAGCTAATTCTTCTGGGGAGGCCGTGACTACATTTTTAGACAATGTTTCTGAATCTGAAAATAGGCTTAGCTCAATGAACTAAGCCAGGATATTATGGCGTTTTACTTGGGCGGCGGGTGTGGGAGGGTGACATTCTCAGTCTCCTACTCTTCCCCTTTCACCTTCCTTAGATGATGTCAGATAGCACTCTCATCGTCTGCTCCCTGGTTTTGCCTCTCAAGACACCATATTGCATGAACCATCTCCAAAGCTCCCTGAGTGCCAAGACTCCTTGGCTGCTCCTCTGACCTCACTGCAAGTTACAAAAATTATAAACTTTTGGATTGTGGTTGTTCAGTCCTGCTACCTGTTCTCTATTGCTTTCAATCCCTTTCTTCTATATGACTAATAATAATCCAGCTCCATGATTATCTCACACATCATCAGCCCTGGTCTTTAGAGGATAGTCACCACTGAACTTTCTAGTAATTCTAGTGCTCCTCCTCTAGAGCATTCCTAGTGACCTTGGTGAAGGGTGTATCTTCTCTGGCCTCTGTCATGTGGCATAATATATTGGTGCATTATCTGGCCTCACACCACTTGTCCCTTCTAATATCCCTGCTTTTCCTATGTTTTCTTATTCCTTTCTCTACGGTCTGTCAGGGCAACTCAGTTATTTCATCATTGGTTAGCATGCACTACTGACTTTTCTAAGCTTCTAATAGCCACACTAGCAGCAAGTTTGCACCATCTCCTTGCGTCCTTGTTTAAGAATTCAATGTTCCAAAATTAATACATTCTTGTTTATTCAGTCTTATGTTATAGTCTCTTGATAAAACACCCTCAAAATCCAATCCATGATTGCTACTATTGGTACATGCAGGTTATAGTTGCAACTCCTTTGGGCTTATTCTCTTTCCTCCCTTAACAACACTTGGACATTCTCAGTTAATTTATACAAGGCTATAACTCTAATACTGGCTTGGAAGCAGGGAAAGGTGTAGAGTATTGTCTAAGGTAATATGGAAGATAGAGAGGTTATCTCTTGAACCCATGGAACTTGAGAATGAGATTTACCAGGGGAAAGGTGATGTTCCAGGTCATTTCCTTCAGTTGATTCTTATATGGTAGGGAAGGATTAGATGAGCTCAAAAGGCAAACCCCTTGATTTTCAAGGAGAATTTTGAGAAAAATTAAAGGATTCAGGAGTTCCCAGGCCCAAAAAGTAAACCATAAATCAGTTCTAATCACTCTAGATGGCTGAATGTTCTACAAGTATGAAGTGCCTCTGGGCAAAGATTAAATTCCCAGGTGCTGTTAGTAAATTGTGGCTTTAGGTAAAGATCTCAGAAATGAGAGTGTAAGGCCCTTTGTTGAAACCTCAGAAAGTTGAAGAGGAAACCTATAAGAGCCTCTCAAACTGTAAGGTCAGGCCTCTTAGACTGACTGTCTTTCAATTACATGAAAATGTTTCTAGGAATCTTAAGGGTGTTGTCCTACAATAAGGTGGCTTTTAGCTAGCCAGAGAAAGGCCTGTCTCACAACGATTTGTGAGTATGGCATTTTCCTCTGAGGAAACCTCAGTAAGATTCGTAAGACCATAAATTGTTAGAAAGAATTTTCATTGGCATCATCATTTTCAATGTCTGTAGGGGCAGTTAGAAAAATGTCCACAGCTGGGTTTCATTGCTGCTCGATTACTGTTATGTGCCTCACATTTTCCCTTTATGAATGAGAGTTTCTATTATGGTCATCCTATACTGTCTTACCATTATTTGTTGAGTATGTGATGGGCAGATAACTTGACTCTTTTGTTCAAAGTTCTTCAGATTGTAAAGAACCATAATTTAGGAAACAAACCCAAGAATCTGCATTGGTATCTTGACCTGATTTTGATAAACAGATGCATAATTTGTACTGATACAAAAATAGGATGAGATTTTAGGATTATTTGGAGGGAGAGCAGTTGTACTGTGTATTTGGGAACAATGTAATTAGTAGTCAGACTGGGACTGTGGTGGGTTAAGAATGTCTGCAAAATCTTTGATGCTCTTTCCAATGACAGGTAGGGATTATTTCCTCTCTATGAATCTTGGTTGGCCTATTTTGACTAATAGGATATGGTAAAAGTGATAATAAAAGGGTCCCTTGTGTTGTGTGTGAGATGACTGGCAACTTTTGCCTTGTTCTGTCATCCCCCATGTAAAAAGTCTGCCCTGAGGCATGTCTGCTGAAGAAGAACCCGATAGCCACATGGAGAAAGAGGAGTCAGAGATAAATAGGGAGACAATTTGTCAGCCCCCAGCTATTCTATGCTCAGCTTCCCAGGACATCCCAGCTGAGGCCCGAGATATTTTTGAGCTGAGTCAGTGCTTTCCTGCTGTGTCCTTCCCAATTGCCGACCCACAAAATAATGCAATTTAGTTAAGTGTTTTAAAGTTCTACATTTTGGGATGTTAGTGTGTTATGCAGCAATAGATTTCCAGAATTCATGTGCTCTTCAGTGCTTCTATGCTACATGCAGTTTGAATTATGTAAAGATTTCTCATGAAGAGAAGTGGTGATTTGAGTCAGTAAGGGTAAGTATATCTTCTCCACACACGTATTTTTCATAAGGAAAACTAATTGAGAGACAAAAGGTGGAGTTGGAATTCATAAGAAGCATGGAAATGAAGTGAAACAAAGTTGTTTGAGTTGACAAATGTGAGCACATAGAATCTGATCAGTTCATGCGTTCATAATATCCTTTCCTGGTCTTTTCCATCTGTCTCTCTCAATAGTTATAAATGCTATCACCCCTACCATCCTTTCATGCCCAGCAGACACTTCTAGGTATTTAGAAAGTTAAGTTGTCTGTCAGTTCAAAATATCACTCAACAATTATGATTTCACACCTTTTACTTAGTGTGAGTTTGGTGATGAGTGAGGACAGGACAAATTTTGGTGATTTCTTCACATTTCACTTGTATTACATCATATTATATCACATCTTAATCTGAAAAAGTAAGTATAGAAATATGAAAACAAAAGAAAATATAGGAAGGGTTTGAAATTCATCATTTTCCATGACTATAAACTTTGGAGGTAATGACACACTAATGAACTAGAAAGGTATTCCTGAGATATTTTTCATTTGGCATCCACAATATAGTATTTTAACAATAATCCTTTAATAGTACTTTACAATAGTTTATAATTTTTCCAGTTCACTTATAAAACATTTCTAGAGACAGAGGCTCCAAAACTCTTTAGATGAACCAGTTATTTAAATCTGTTAATTAGTGTTTATAAAGAAATTATGACATACTGCTTAAAAATGCCCTTTATATGTGAGTGAATATTTACTTTTCTAATTGAGTAACCATGACCCTAAATTTGAATATTCAAATATAAAAGCAAGAAATGTTATTGCTCAGATTAAAATATGTTAACAAAGTGACCACACGGATAAATGGCCTAAGTATTATCCAACTATCTAATACATGGGTAATATATAGGCACATTTGTATGTCTCGTTTCATTAAGAAATATCTAAGAACACATGACAAATAACTTTTATCAGCGGCTATCCCCCAAACAAATTCAGCATTAGGATTCTGTGGCCAGGTCCCATTTTTTAAAGTTTCCCTTATATTACCTATAGAGTCATTATTTAATAAAACTAGACTGGAATTTCCTATTTATTTTTTCTTTATCTGATTTCATCTGCTATACATTTGTGGACAGTTTGAAAATGAGATATAGTTTAATATCTCAACATTTTCCTTGACTTTTTATTTATGCTGCTGGAAGATTTCTCTAGATCTCTTTCAAGTCAGAGTCTCCTTTTGACCACTCTACTGAAGGCTCCTTTTACTTCCTTGTTCCTCAAAGTATACGTCAGTGGATTTAGTAAGGGAGTGATCACACTGTACATAATGGCAATGACCCGGTCCTGGTCCACGGAACTACCTGAAGAAGGACGAACATAGGTAAACACAACAGGAGCATAGAAAAGAATAACTACCATGAAGTGGGAGGCGCAAGTGGAAAGTGCTTTGTGAAGCATGCTGCAAGAATGTGTCTTGAAGAAAAGATAGATAATAATATAGGTGTAGGAGAGAAGTGTTAGAAAGAATGGCCCCATGGCAATAGTTGCGGCAACAGTATTGAGCAGCCACTGGTTGAGGTCAGTGTTCCCACAGGCCAACTCTAGCAACGGCTTAACATCACAGAAGAAGTAATGGATATGGTTGGAACCACAGAAGTTCAATTGAGAGGTCATTATGGACTGCAGAAGGGCATGGAAAAAACCAATAATCCAGATAGTGATAGATATATGGGTACAGCACTGATGATTCATAATAAGAGTATAATGAAGTGGTTTGCAGATAGCCACAAAGCGGTCAAAGGCCATCACAGCCAACAACACGGCCTCTGTGGTGCCCAGGAAATGCAAGAAGTGAAGCTGGCTTATGCATCCCACGAAAGAAATTGTTTTGTGTGTAGAGAGGAAGTTCTCCAGCATCTTTGGCAGTGTCACTGTAGAAAAGCAGATATCTAGACATGATAGGTTTCCAAGGAAGAAATACATAGGTAAATGGAGTCTTGGATCAGAGATGACAATCATTAGGATGACTCCATTCCCAGCCACAATTGCAAAGTAAATTGCAAGGAAAACCATGAAGAGAAAAGGCTGTAGTACTTGGATGTCTGTCACTCCCAAGAGGAGAAATTTGGTGACTGATGTGTGATTTGGCATCTCTTAAAAGAAAAGGCAGTATAATAGGTGGAATGCCAAAGAAATCAGAGTCCTTCCAGCTGAATATTTTCCCACCTAGATAACATTATTTTGAGAGTGACCATTGTTGTTTACACAGTACCAATATCAGATGTTCTACAGTATTTGGACTATTAGATGGTTAAATATTAAGGTTACATGTACATTATAGACTGTATCTCAACGATTTTTTTTCATTTGATTCATCATTAATAGTTTTCTTTCCCCAGTGATTAAGAGCACGTTGCCAGTCTACAATCTTCTCTGGTTGTGAATATCTATCATCTAATACAACTTTCCTTTCATCATCGTGTCAGCTTTAACAGGGAAAAATTTTAAGTATTCTACCACACGTTTGTCTCTTGACCTAAGGAGAAACATTCTGAAGGGTTTTTACGTAAGAAAAATAACAAGGAGAGAATAATAAGAACTGTAAGGAAATATCAATAGAGATGAAGATATTAGAGTGCTTCTCATAAAAGGGAAACATTCAATGTTTGGAAAATCATTGAGTAGGGAATGAAAAGATTTGATGTGACTAGAACAGAGAGTGGATTAACTATGGGATTCTAGGCTTTATAGCTGGAGGTAACTGAGAATTTATGTCACTTCAACTACACCTCCATGAACGTCTGGCTTCAAGCAATTCAGAGAAGCTTTCTTTGGTAGTCATATGTATTTTTGTATATTGTTAAAATTTCCCACTCCTGTTTAAAACACCAATGATATGCAAAATATAATTTTGAATTTGCAGGCCCATGAAAGCAAACTGTACCAAAAATATATTGGGGGAAAATACTTTTCCTAACACTTAAAGAAAATTAGAAACCAGGATAATTTGTACTGAGTAATTTATTGCACTGTATCTTCAGTATTTAGAGTTAATGTATTTGGAGCATATCTAGAGAATTGGACATCCTGAATTGAGAATAGATATGGCAATAAAAATTTAAAAAGAAGCTACATCATCCAGAAATAAAATGATGGGAAGCCAGCTCTAAATCCTGGGAATTTAATTTTTACTGAGAAGTTGCCCAGAAAACAAGGGCAACTCCCCATCCTCTCTCCTATTTCATTCTCTTACCTTACTGAGTGTTCAAATACAGCTAAGAAAGCTTTTCATGTTTGTACGCCCAGTGAGTACAATTAGTAGAGAAATAGTTGAAGTGACAGTTCATATTGTATTTGAAACATAAGCTCTTCATCCTCAAAAACCTCTTCCTCTCTTTCTGAAGATATGCCTGCCTTTAATGAGCCACAGCTCTGTAGATATATAAATCCTGAGAGAGACTTTCTCTTGGGTTTGAGAAGGAATGCTGTAAGAATAGGATGTCTTTTCATACCCGCTTATGTGGGGATTCTCCATTGAGAATTCCTTTTTTGAGTTCCACTTTTTTTCATTGTTCCTATTTATTTTCCTTGCTATGTGGCCTCTTTAGTTTCAGAACAAAGACACCTTAATTCTCAATGGCTTCATGTGTTTTTTTAAATTAATTTTTCTTCCTGAATGGAGGCTTGGAATACACTTTCTTAGAAAAACTTTGTGTATAACATGGAACAAAATTTGGTAATGACAGTTAAAGTTTAGGGGACAGTCACATCCCATTGATCCATATAAGAAGATAATTTTATTTTATTTATTTTATTTTGGTTTCATCAATGTACAATTACATGAGCAACATTATGGTTACTAGACTCCCCCCATTATCAAGTCCCCACCACATATCCCATTACAGTCACTGTCCATCAGCATAATAAATATTCTATTCACTTTATTACTGTGGTTCTATGGAAAACAAATAAAGGTGAATAGAGACTTGTAGCATTGCTTGTTCCTTCCAAATATGACTCTTCACTGTTGGTAATAACCTAAATACTTTTCTTTAATTTTGGATCCAAAATTTCACAATATTCTTTGGGGGAATGAGGCTGGTCTCTCTAGTGTGTATCCTTGCTTCTTTTTGTATCCTTTAGGTAAAAATAGTCTATCTGCTTCACCCAAGGAATATCTTTATGTGATTTGACATCTATTCAAGCGTTCTAATAACATTTATAAGTGCCATGTACTTTGTCCATCTTTCTATTGAGGTCCAATCTTGTTGCTTTTGGAAATTCATTATAAATTGATCACATTAGTAATTCCTTGTTACATGCTATGAATATAATACAGTGGTATAATACATTTATAAATTATAAACAATAAAATATATTTATTGTGTTCTTACAGGGTAAGTTATTATTCTGAGTCCTTTACAATAAATAGCTCACTTATTAAAATTGGAATATAGTTGATAAAAATATATTGGTTTCAGATCTGCAACATAGTGACTTAATAATTATATATGTATCTAATACTCACCACAGTAAGTGTAGTTACCCTTTGTTACCATACCAAGATATTACAATATTATTGCTTATATATTCTATGTTGTACTTCCATTCCTATGACTAATTTATTTTATAATTTGATGTTTGTAGCTCTTTATTTCCTTCACCTATTTCATCCAACCACCTTTGCTCTCTCCTATGGTAACCACAAGTCCATTCTCTGTGTTTATATTTTGTTTGTTTGTTCATTTGTTTTGTTTTATAGATTCCACATATAACTGAAAGCATATAGTATTTGTTTTTGTCTGACTTATTTCAAATAGCATGATACCCTTTAGGATCGTTTACATTGTCACAGATCGCAAGATTTCCTTCTTTTTTATGGCTATGTATATTCCATTGTATATATGTACCACATCTTCTATACCAGTTAATCTATTCTTGGGCACTTGGGTTGTTTCCATATCTTGACTATTGTAAACAATGCTGCAATAAACATAGGTGTGCATACATCTTTTCAAATTAGTGATTTTATTTTCTTTGGGTAAATTCGCAGAAGTGTAATTACTGGATGATATGGTATTTCTAATTTTAGTTTTTTGAGCAACCTCTATGTTGTTCTCCACAGTGGCTGGACCAGTTTACATTCCTACCACCAGTGTAGTAGTGTTGCCCTTTCTCCACATCCTCCCCAAAGTTGTTATTTCTTGTCTTTTAGATACTAGCCATTCTGATTTGTGTGAGGTGACAGCTCATTGTGGTTTTGGTTTGTATTCCCCTGATGATTAGTAATGTGGAGCATTTTTCTTCTGCCTCTTGGCCACCTATATGATGTTGTTGTTTCGGAAAAATGTAACAGTCCTATGCCCACTTTTGAATTGGGTTGGTTTTTCTTGTGTGTATATGTTGACATTCCACCTATGTTTTCTTCTGGTTTATGTTTTCCTGTCTTACATTTAGGTATAAAATCCATTTAGAGTTTACTTCTATGTGTAGTGTAAGAGAGTGATGCAATTTCATTCTCTAGCAAGTAGCTGTCCAGTTTTCTCAAGATTATTTATTGAAGAGACTGTCTTTCCCCAGTGTATATTTTTGACTCCTTTGCATTTATACGTTAATTGACCATATAGGCATGGATATATTTCTGGGCTCTCTATTCTGTTCCTTGATCCATGTATCTAGTCTTGTGCCATGACCATATAGTTTTAATCACTATAGCTTTGTAATATAGTTTGAAATGAAGAAGCGTGATACCCCTAGCTTAGATCTTCTTTCTCAAGATTGTTTTGGCTGTTTAGGGACTTTTGTGGTTCCATATAAATTTTAGGATTCATTGCTCTAGTTTATTAAAAATATCATTGGTATTTTGATGGGAATTGCATTCAATCTATAAATTGTTTGGACATGATGGCCATTTTGGGAATACTAGTTCGTCCTGTCCATGAGCAGGGACAGCTTTCCATTTATTTGTATTTTCTGGAACTTCTTTCATCAGTGTCTTATAGTCATTTATCTATCTATCTATCTATCTATCTATCTATCTATCTATCTATCTATCTATCATGTGTCTATTTATGCTATCATTAATGTACAATTACATGAACAACATTATGGTTACTGGAATCCCCCTACTATCAAGTCCCCACCACATACTCCTTAAGAGTCACTATCTATATGCATAGTAAGATGCTCTAGAATTACTATTTGTCTTCTCTGTGTTATACTACCTTCTCTGTGTGTGCCCCCCCCCATGCTAATCATAATGACCCTTCTTTCCCCTTATCCCTCCCTTCCCACTCATCCTCCCCAATCCCTTTCCCTTTGGCAACTGTTAGTCTATTCTTGGGTTCTGTGAGTCTGCTGCTGTTTTGCTCCTTCTGTTTTTTCTTTGTTCCTGTACTCCACAGATGAGTGAAATCATTTGATACATGTCTTTCTGCCTGACTTATTTCACTGAGCATAATACCCTCTAGCTCCTCCATGTTGTTGCAAATGGTAGGATTTGTTTTCTTCTTATGGCCGAATAATATCCAATTGTGTATATGTCCCACATCTTCTTTATCCATTCATCTACTGATGGACACTTAGGTTGCTTCCATATCTTGGCTATTATAAATAGTGCTGCGATAAACATAGGGGTGCATCTGTCTTTTTCAAACTGGGCTGCTGCATTCTTAGGGTAAATTCCTAGGAGTGGAATTCCTGGGTCAAATGGTATTTCTATTTTGAGTTTTTTAAGGAACCTCCATACTGCTTTCCACAATGGTTGAACTAATTTACATATCCCCCAGCAGTGTAGGAGGGTAGCCCTTTCACCACATCCTCACCAACATTTCTTATATGTGCTTTGGATTTGTTTTGGATCCTAACTGGTGTGAGGTGATAACTCATTGCTGTTTTAATTTGCATTTCTCTGATGATTAGGGATGTGGAGCATCTTTTCATGTGCGGGTTGGCCATCTGAATTTCTTCTTTGGAGAAGTGTCTGCTCTCTGCCCACTTTTTTTCTTTTGTTATCATTAATCTACAATTACATGAAGAACATTATGTTAACTAGGGTCCTCTCTTCACCAAGTCCCTTCCACAAACCCCATCACAGTAACTGTCCATCAGCATAGTAAGATGTTGTAGAATCACTACTTGTCTTCTCTGTG